TGCCAGGCAGGCACTTTTGCCGGTGAGCTAAATCCCAAGCCCCTCTATTTCTTTTAACTCCAAGAGCTCAGCTGTACTTTCAAAAAATCACAGAAACCTAAAGGTTTCTGTATATCCAGGTGCCTGGGAATCAGAACATAACTGAAGGAACCAACTTCTTCCAGATCCTATGGTTTGCGCCTTCCTCCTCAGTCAGATGATGTCCAGGGTGTGATGGTTTAGATTGAGAATGTTCCCCCAGTGGTTCACATGTTCAGAAATGGGCTTTCGGAAGGTGATTGGGTCACGGCAGAGCTATGGCTGTTTTGATGTCAGAAGGTAGAGCCCAGCTGGAGGTGGGTCATTGGGGCATGACCTAAAAGGATGTTACACACACACACACACACACACACACATGCCATTTTTGCTGTGCTTCTGACCACCATGACATGTGCAACTTTGCTCCCCCAGATCTTCCCACCATGCCCTTTCTGCCTTGGAGCCAGCTGACTATGCTTTGAATCCTCTAAAAGCTATAGGCAAAATAAACCTCTCCTCCTCTTCTTTGTGTCTCACTGATGAAAAAAGTGACTAAAAGGGGCTGGAGATTTAGCTCAGCGGCACAGTGCCTGCCTGGCAAGTGCAAAGTCATGAGTTTGATTCCCGGTACCGGAAAAAAAAACCACACAAAAAAAAGAAAAGTGATGCCAATCACCACTGCTCTGCATTCGGAATCACTGCAACAGCTGCCTGCTGGCTTGCTGCTCCATGGAGTATCTAAGACACTCCCGTCCTCAGCCTCTATCTTCGCGGCTCCTTCCCACACATCACAGACTGATTAATCTCAGAAGACAGTGTAGAGAGATGGTCAGGACATGGGTTTGGAACAAGAGACCTCAGCATCAACTCCACTGCATCTCCACCTCCTGCCTGGAGCATCACTTAGAGAAGCTGTAAAAAACAAGACAGTCAAACATTCTATGTGTCCTCCTAAAAACAGGAACCACTACCCTTACACACCCTCCCCTAAATTTGACTCAGAATCTAATCAATTTGACTATCGTTATCAGAGTACAGGAAATCAAAAGGAGGGAGTAACACAACACAAAACGAAGGGACGGATCTGCAAAGTTCAGAAGGTTAAAAACCTCTCACAACAAAACTGAATTTACTCAACAAGTAAATTCCAAGGAGAGAGAGAGAGAGGGACAGAGGGTGGGAGGGAAGGAGAAAGAGAGGTCTCTTTTCCAAGAAGGAGACTTAAGAGACATAACAACCAATTTCAATGTATAGCTCTTAATTGGATTATAACTAAAGCAAAAAGAACTATTTTTAATGTATGAGACAACCAAGAGCATGTGAACAATGATTACATAGTTGAAGATATCAATATTAAGGAATTATTATTAATAGGTAGGATGATAATATTGTGGGGTATTTTTTCCTTTTGTTTTGTTTTGTGGCACTGGGAATTGAACCCAAAGTCTTTGCATTGAGCTATATTCTTAAACATTTTTTTTAAATTTTGAGGCAAGGGCTTGCAGTGTTGCTAAACTGCCCAGTTGAGTTTGAACTTGAGATCCTCCTGCCTCAGGCTCCTAGGGTGTTGGGATTACAGGAACATGTCACATCTGACTTAGTGTGTGCATGTTTTCTTTAAAGAGTCCTTGTCTTTTAAAGACATACATTGAAATCTTTGTAGATGAAGTGATATGACAACTGGGATTTCAAGGAATTGGTGGTGGGGTGGAAAGTGGAGGATATAGATAAAACAAGACTGGTCATAAATTGGCAATTGCTGAAGTTGAGTGACAGATATGGGGGAGGTTGATAGTACTATTTTCTCTTTTGTACATTTGAAATTTTCCAATTTTCTCAGGATAGCCTGTTTTTTAGGTCCTCTAATCTCCCATTTTCTGAGTTCTGTTTGCATTGTCCGTTGTCATTTAACATGCTCCTCTGTTCTCTGACGTCCTGTAAACAATTAGTAGAATCTGGAGACTTGACATTATAGCAATTCTATTTGGGGCAAGAATATTTTACAGGCAATTCTTATACTTCTATCAGGAGGGACATAACGCCTGCAATAAAAAGGTTTTTAAAAGTTAGTTTTCCCAACTGAAAAATGGAGATGGTTCTTAGAGAGGTAATTGTGAGGTTAAACTGTTTATGTAAGTAGAAAACCAAGTACAGAGCCTGCCACATCCTGGTATTTTACAAATGTCAGTTGCCTTCTCTTAACCTCTCAGTAACCTCTCTAATAATTTCCATTATCTATTTGATCGACTTTTGAGTACACTTAAAATTCCAGGGCTGGGGTGTAGCTCAGTGTACAGCGCTTGCCTCAAATTCTCAAGAGCCTAGGTTCTAGCTGCAGTGCTGCAAAACAGACAAATTTCAGGTCTTCTATGATCTTGTCCTACTCTACTTTTTGTTCAAGTTTTAACTTCTTCATCTGCTTCTCTCCCTCTCTCTCTCTTTGTCACACACACACACACACACACACACACACACACACACACACACATTGCATTCCTTGACCCATTCCTTAGCTTAAACCAGTTCTCCCACTGGAGATGCCCTTCTTGTTTCTCTGCTGTCCTCCAGGACTCGGTTCAGGACCCTCCTGAGCTTACCCCAGCGATGCCTCCCTTACTGCTCTTGCATTGCTATCTGTTTGGATTATTAAACTTCACATGAAATGCATTGCCCCATCGGTACAGGGCAGGCCAGGCAGCTTTTTGCCCAGCACAGTCGGTACCATGTACACCACAGTGGTGTGCCACAGATGTCTGCCAGGGGAAGAGAATGAAAGGATGAGCCAGGAAACAGCTCCAGCCTGAGCAGAAGCGGGCAGAGATGTCCGGGCACACCAAACAGACTCTCAGTTTGGGGATGGGAGGAAGAAAAGAGATGCTTTTATTTCATCTGAAAGAGAAAGTGTCTGCCCTCATGATCATACTTATTTTGCTAATTTCTTTCTAAATTGCACAAATGAAGTCAGGCCCTGATATTACTGTGTTGATGGACAAGATTGAAAAAATCAAGCAGCAAGCTCAAGGCTCCAAACACACAATGTGGGTCACCAACTATCACACGCATGTATTGAAGCACATACACGGGTCCCTATGAACTATGGTCATCTCAGAGGACAGTTATTCTTGTTCCAGCAAGATGTGCCACAGTCCTATCTATCCAAAGGTTGGCTTTTAACAAGGAGTCACAATGTCACAACCGTCTAAGCCATAAGGTGACAAGGGGACTCTAAAATGTTCTGTGGCCGAGCAGTAAAATTCTACCCTCCTTTCTTTTCCCCCAAGTCTCCAGACAGTTCTCCAGGCAGACAACAGGCCCCTGAGAGACCATAGTGACCTTCAGTTGACCCTGAAGTCTTTGCAGCTCTTTACCATAGAATTATGAAAGATTGCATTGTAGGATGAGACTATTTCTTTCACTTTTTGAATTTTGACCATAATTTTCTTTTTTACTCCTACTTACAGTAGCGCATCCTCAGCCTACAACACAGCACTATTCCTTGGTGCCTCGAAGGAAAGATGCAGCCCTCTCACAGCTTACAAAAGGCCGGAGAGCAGAATCTGATGGAAATGTAACCAGTCCTTCCTCTAAGAAAAATGCACAAACACATGCAGAATTTGGCATATTGTTTCATGTATGTTTCTGAAATGGCATTTAAACTACTAGCTATACTTCCCCCATCACTCTTTGAAAACCCACTTCTTACCATTCAGGAAAAGCGAAATGCCATTTCTTTAAAGCACAAAATGTTCCAAAACCATGTCATGTTCCTTCAGAGAACATGTCATGTTCCTTGCTCTTATTCTGTAACAATTCTCCAACATTCCAAGAACTGCTTGAAACGATGGTCAGTCAAATGGTTTTGTGAAACTGTTGGACAATCTTGGTTGACTTTTCTTTCTACCCCACTGTGTTGGGGATCATACCCAGGGCCTTGTGCGTGCTCGGCAAGTGCTCTACCATTGAGGTATAGCCACAATTTTATTTCTCTTTTGAGACAGAGTCTTACTAAGTTATCCAGGCTGTGCTCAAACTTATAGTCCTCTGGCCTCCGCCTCTCAAGTAGCTGGGGTTATAGGTCTGCACTACCACACTGAGCTTGGGTGACTCCTAATAAGACAGTCACCATTTTTTCAGGTGGATGAAAACACTGCTTAATAGAATGTGTTGAGTGGAGGCCTACTAGATTACAGGGGCTATGAAAGCAAGGGCAGAAATAGAAAGGTATAGATGTGGGGGTGTGCTCCAAGGGAAAAATGTAAGGGCACTCAGAGGCTGTCTCTTGGTTCGGGCTTGACTCCCCTTTGCTCCCATACTACAGTCCAGGAGAAGTACCTTGGCAGTCACAGTCAGTTATTAACAGAGTGACAAATACAAGGCCCAAGTCCCAAAGTCACTTACTACTGTGCCAAATTCTCCATCGTTAAAGTGACTCCTCACCTCTTCAGGCACTGTGTTCACAGGGTTCATCCATATCCCTGTAGCCGTGTTTTTATTGGAGCTCCAAAACAAAATCATCGTCAGGCTCCTTATTACCTTAACAACCCAGAGTTGATAATTTTCCTAATTGGCGTTACACATGTTTAAATCTCTCTAATTATTTAATGATAGTGACCAGGTAATCTATAACAGCAATTACATATCTGAATTGTCATGGACTATTGGACAAACATGAAATGGGGCATCTTAAAAGCATTTAAAATGTAATGTTAATTAGAAAGGTTATCAAATACAGTACTTACCACCATAGGGAACATGTTAGAATTTTTGCCAATAAAAAGAAGAAAAGAAGGTGCTCATTAAGACTCAGAGCCTATGAATGTCAGAATGAAATCAAAGGATATAAAGAATTATCTGAAGCCGGATAGATTTGGTGCAGTGTTCTCATTGATTACTTGCCCATTTATTAGACTAGTATCAGTTAATTACTGTACCTACTACAAAAGTACAAAAGCTACTATGAAAAGTTAAGGAAGAATGTGTTGCTTTCTTCTGCCTTTGGGAAATCTGAAATTTGGCTGAAGAGACAGGCCATAGAGAAAAGGAATTACCAACTGCATGAAGCAACTGCAATTAATATCACCATCATAAAAAGTCTGTAAACATCTGCCATATTCAGCCAGGTGTGGTGGTGCATGCCTACAAACCCAGCACTCTGAGAAACTGAGGCAGGAGGATCACAAGTTCAAGCCCAGCCTGAGCAACTTAGTGAGTTACTGCAATAATGTCTCAAAATAAAAAATTAACAAATAGGGCTGGGGATGTAAAGGCCTTCAATGTGAAGGCCTTGGGTTCAATCCCCAGCCCCATACCCAAACAAACAAAAGCTACCGAAGTACTGAAAAAAATATGACAAGGACTCCTGGGTGAGGCAAATTTCAAGAAAGTTCCTGGAAGGTCTGGAGGGTAGAAATAGATGCGTATCAATTGAAAACCAAAGAGAGTGCACCACAGGTTGAGACAACTGAGACCCTGTAGCCAAGAAGCTCAGGAAGGACACTGAGCTAAGAATAAAAGGATTTGGGTTCAAATCCAGGCTCTGCCTCTTCCTTGCTTTTTTAAATGTAATTTTCTTATTTTTTATTAGTGCATATTTGTATTCCAGAATCGTTGTGTCTGCTTTGGGGAACTGGTACATGCATACAACGTATCTGGTTCATCTTCAATCCTTTCTTTCCCCCTCCCCTGGTCCTGTTCCCCACTTGCAAGAGTCTACCTTCTAGTGTATTTTTTACCACCGTTCCTTTATTTTATTCATGTATCTATTTATAAGAGAAAGCATGTGATATTTAATTTTCTGAGTCTGGTTTATTTTGCTTAGCATGATGATCTCAGGTTCCATCCATTTGTCTACAAGTGACATGATTTCACTCTTCTTTGTGGATGAGTAATATTCCATTGTGTATGCATTTTCTTTATTTATTCATCTGTGGATAGACATCTAAGGTGGTTCCAGAGTTTAGCTATTGTGAATTGTGCTGCTATAAACATGGATATGTATGTACCATTATAGTATGATGTCACTACTATATGACATCATTATAGTATGATGTCATACTATAATGTATCATTATAGTATGATGTCACTATAATGGGGGCAATATAGCCAAGAGATGTATACCTAGGTCAAATAGAACTTTTGCTTCTAATTCTTGAGGAATCTAGACACTGATTTCCATGGTGGCTGTACTAGCTTCCATTACTACCAACAGTGTAGGAAGGTTCCTTTTTTCCCTTGTACCCTCATCAGAATTCATTGTTTTCTATGTTCTTGATACTAGCCATTCTGACAGTGATAAAATGGAATCTAAGTTGTTTTGATTTGCATTTTCCTAATAGCTAAAAATAAAGAACATTTCTTCACATGTTTACTGGCCATTTGTATTCTTTTGAGAAGAGTCTATTCAGTGCATTTGCTTATTTTTTGATTGAGCCATTGCTTTGGGAGAGTTAATTTTTTTGAGTTCTTTATATTTTCTAGATATTAGTTCTTTTTCAGAACAACAGCAAAGAATAATTTTCTTCCATCCCATAGGTTACCTTTTCATTCTGTTCATTGTTCTTTTGCTGACAGATGCTTTTTAATTTGATGTAATACCATTCAATGATTCTTGGTAATATGGACATTGTAACAATATTAATCCTTCTGGTTCAAGAACAAGGGATACAATTTCATTTTCTTTTCTTTTTTTGTGGGGGGGGAATGTGTTTTTGAGATAGTATCTTGCCATGCAGTTCAGGCTGGCCTTGAGCTCACTTTGTAGCCCAGGCTGGTCTCAAACTTGCAATGATCTTCCTGCCTCAGCCTCCCTCCCGAGTGCTGGGATTACAGGCATGTACCACCACACCTGGTTTCATTTTCTTAATTCCTCTTCAATTTCTTTCTTCAGAATTCTGTAATTTTCAGCACAAGGGTCTTTTATCTCCTTGGTTAGGTTGATTCCTATGTATTTAATTTTTTAAGCTATTATACATGGAATTGTTTTCCTGATTTCTTTCTTGGTGGATTTATTATTGATGTATAGAAATGCACTGATTTTTGTATGTTGATTTTGTGACCCACTGTTTCTTCCTTTTTGATCTTGAACAAGATAAGCTCTCTAATTCTGTATTTTTCTTTTCCACGAAATGAGGATATAAAACCAATCTTGTATGTTGGTTGTAAAGATTAAGTGAAAACGTGTCAGATGAACATGTTTAACAAAATGTTTGACACAGAAGACACAGATACTTTTTAAAAGAGTAAGACCAAACTTCCCAGCAGAAAGTTGAAGTGGAGAGTATGTGTGTGAAGGCTAACAAGACTGTGTTGTTTTAGAAGCAGTGGTGGTTCACCTGGTAGAATGCTTTGAATGCAAGGCTGAATCGCCTGGGTTTGAAAGGTCTATCAGGGTCTATCACCAGTTCTTGACGAGGATTGTGAGGTGGTAGCCTGCATGCTATCCTGACAAGTACGGAAGGAACAGGTCAGTGAGAGGCTGAGAACCTCCAAGGTTCTTGGAATGTTTAGGCATAAGGAGATAAACCACAAGCAAATGAAGTTACCATCAAAAGAGAAAGAGATGATGGTGAGATCAGACATGAAGGCAAAGTCTGGGGGTGATGTGCATAACGATGGGACTCAGCACTATCTCCCTCGTCTAAGCCATCAACTCTTACAGAGACCCCACAAGAGCCTCTGAAACAGAAATACTTTCAGTGACAAGAATTAATGGCTTAAATAACTATTAGTGGCTTAAACAATCAATGTATTTAGTTGATTCTAGGTCAAGAAGTCTAAGCAAAGTGGTTACAGAGTTTTCCCAGTGGTTCTGTATCTCCACCACTTCCTCCACTTTGCCCTCATTCACCACAAAATGGCTGACAGCTATCATTCCTTCAAAGGCAGAAAGCGAGAGCACATGGCAATGGGGAAAAGTCAGCATCAGCCAGCTCTGATCTTACATCTGTTCCCTTTCTAGAAGTTTCCTGTATACTTGTTTTATAGTTCAGAGGTCAGATCTAAGTCTAATGGCCACGTCTAGGTGCAAGAGAGGTTGGGAAAGTGAAAGCTAGACTTTCAGATGGTGTAGTGAGAGGAACAAAGAGGCTGGGGGTAACTTTGGTAGCCAACCAATCGTGTCTTCCCAACTGGTGCCTGGCTTTACACTTGTTTTCCCAGAGCATTCTTTTAAAGATGTACTCTGACCTTCTTAACACTATTTGTTAATTAATTTGTTGTTTTTTTATCTGTCTCCCCCACTGGAATGTGCATACCAAGAGGAGTTACCACACCTTTTTTTCTTTTATGACCACACTCTTTTATGGCCCTTTCTTAGTGCTGTGTCTGGCACATAATAAGTGCTCAATAAATACTGCTTGAGTGAATGAATGAATGAACGAATGAACAAATGAGCACACCATCAAAAGTGACTCTTAGACAATAATAATAAGAAGAAGAAATGGTGAAAGGGACAGAGAAAGTGAGAGATAAGAAAAAAGCTGAAGGAGTGTGGTGCCTTGTAGACCAAGGAAAGAAAGGGCTCTGGAAGGAGAGGAGAGGAGTCGCTAATATCAGCTACCATTAAAATATCAAAGATAAGGGAGAATTGAAGATACTAGTGCACTTGCATAAGAGGAGACCTATGGGTGGCTTAAGTGCATATCCTACCTCTTGCCTAAAGAGCATTAAATCAAAGGATGAAATAAGAAAACAGTTCACTTTTCTTCCTGGCTGCAGGGGACACTGCATGGTACCTTTCCTATGCTTCAGTTTTGT